TCAATTAGCAACAGTGACTGGAATTGGGCCTTAGACACAGRAATGGACATTTAGGAGTATATAATTTGGGGGAAAATGTCTTGCCTTGATGGTATTTCCGATTTGGACAAGCATTGGCATGGTATTCCAAAGCATGACAGGTTGAACTGGAAGCACACATATGACCCAAACTCTTTTCATACAAGGCAATCTCAGACTTTACTTTTTTCTATGGTTCTGTACAATGGAAGGGATTTGTGCATGTGAAGGTCAATTTGCTATAAATAAGCAACTCATGTACACAGTGAAAAAACCTAAGAATTAAGAAGCAGAACAAGGACTGACAAAAAATCAGTAGGGTATATTTAAGCCTAGATTTAAAGCAAATTGCACTGCAAATTCAATTCACAATATGTTTAACTTGTTCACACTTGTCAATGCACTTTCTATAYAAGTACATTGATGCATATGGAGATTTAAGGCATGTATTGCATGAATTTAACAATGAAGACTGATCAAGAACATATCTCCTAGCAGATGAATTGCAAAATTAGCAGGAAAATCCATAAAATTGTTCTATGAATTCAAATGAGCAAGTAAGTAATGGAAGTTTTTTGAGGTTTCTTCTGTGGAGACAACTCCAGTGCACATTTCTAACATACATTTCACAATTTGTGTTTAGTATCAAAGAGAGATGTATTAACAGAAAAACCAAAGGTGCCCCACGCCTGCCTGCAGCTGCCAATGGTACCTGCCWCAGATGGAAACTGTGGGACTCCCAGAAGGGATATCACAGTCAGGACCTGAAGGAACAATTCTGGGTGCAATAGAAGCCAAGCCTAGATAAACCCCCAAAATTGTTATGGCTTTTTTATTTCAAACAGGTCCCTGGTAAAAGACACTTAGATTAGAGGGGCTGCATGTCAGAGTAGTGCACTGTGCCAGCTCAGTATCATTMCAGCAGGAATCTGCAATTTTCCAGACCACTTGTTATGCACAATTTCAGTGTCATAGTCATTTTACCACACTCCCAATTAATCTCAAGCTCTCTCATGCTCCTCACTGAGCCCTCAATAAGAAGCATAACTTGGGAAAATGCAGGTTAAAAATGGTAAGTATCCAACTGGACTTGAAAAAACTCTTCCAAGACAACATATTCACATCTAGATCCTGTATTCCTTAGCTCAGTTTCAGGGAATTTTGTGACTGATATGCTAACAATGACAAACCTTACCTCTCCATCACTTTCCAGCGATCTTCTATGTTTCATAACTCAGCCAGGGAGTCAAATAATGCCCCCTGTAAGTCAGATGATTCTCTTGTTAGTACCATGAACATGGATATGCTACCTGCCAGACACACCTGCTGTCAAATTACAGTGAAAGCTTGCTTTGTTTGATTAGAAAATCCACAACCATTCTTACCAAGTGAGAGAATCTCACTTTATAATTAGTGTCATCCACACTATGCTCTAATAATTAGGATTATCAGTTTAATGACAGTGATGCTACATATACCAAGGTCATTTAGGCACAGGTAAGAGCGTGTGGCATTGTACTCTGGCACAGATGTTGGGCACACAAAAAGAGARTAGAATTTGAAAAGGGACAAATGAAAAGAAAAAGAGATGTGAAAACTATGAATGGAAGACTGGCCCAGCCAAAGAAGGTGGAGTATGGGGGGGAAAAGGAATAAAGTGTGCAGGGAAAAATTCCCCAAGATATTCTTAAATTTGTGTTAAAAATGCCCAAGAAATTCTGTGTCTTTGTGCCCCAAGCAGAAGATCTGCAAGYCTTTAACAGGTTGGTAGCCCAGTCACTGCACATACAGGAATGAGTGGTGTAAGGTTGGGCCAGCTGTGCATGTGACAACACAGAACTGGGATTTTGCCTTAAACAAATGTTTAACAGCCTTAAAGGCATTTGACAGCTACACCACAAACCTTCTGAAAGCACAACTATCTATTTCACCTTCTGTTCAGTTTGTGGAAGATACAGTTAAGAGAAAGTACAGCCAGATTTTTGCAGAAAGAGTCTGTTAAACAGSAAAGTTTATTTAGGCGCTGTGTACTGGCTGCTTTGGATATCCAATAAGATAAAGCTTCCAATATAATCTTCTATCATCAGGCATTTTAACCTGAGAATCCCAGTTGTTTGAGTGGAAACATGAAGAAAAGAATAGTAAAACTCTTGACAGAAGAAACTACAAAAGCTTYAACGTTTCTCTGGCCTATAGAAAGGGAACAGTTTAGGGACACAGGCAAAATAAGAGGTTGTATACTCCAACTGACAGTAAATTTCTCAAACACTGAATAATTTTGCCTTTCTCCTGATTTCAAATACAGACATTCTACAGAAGGGATAAAAACTGTAGTGTGCCTGTTTCACTTGAACCCATTAGAACTCATTCATTTTGCCCTGGGAATGACTTTCCAAGCCCCACCACAAGGCTGAGCAATAGAAGATGCAGAGGAATAAGGTGCTTCAAAATGAACTCACCAGGCAAATCAAACAGAACTTTGATTTCACTCTCCATGGTGTCCAAGCTAGGACACATCTAGTTCTTCTTTAGCTCTGAGAGGAAATCACAGCTGTGGGAAGAAACAAAGTTTGAATTGTCTCAAAGTAAAAATACATACARCATGCTTTAAATTTCATCTTGAAATGCTGTATTGTTTCATCTAATAATGAAAATCAAATTATTCCACCCCTAGGYTCAGTCTTATCCAGTTACTGTTATATTACATGTATATAATGCAAATTTCTCCATCCCACCTCCGCTCTTTCCAGCCCTTCCCACTAATTTTCCTTTCTCCTTAATAAAGATGAAATCTCTTAAGAAAGCAGAGGCCTCCTGAGATCTCTTTTTCTGGATTTTCTCTAAAGGGCTTTCACAGAAGGATTAGGTATATTATTAACCCATTCCCAGCCCAGTTTGCTCATTTCATTATCTTTGTCTTTTTTCTCAAAAAATGAGATATTTTGCTACAGAAAGAACCTCTAAGTGTGAATTTGCAAATCTTCTTTCTCAGTAGAGCTACCAGTTTCACTAAACAGGGACTGGGAAAGTGAGGAAGGAAATAAAATACATCTCCCTTTCAGAGAGTTTTCTTGCAAAGGTCACTGAGATTTGGATCTAGCAAAAGGTTCTTTCAAGATGGAAGAATTAAACCCCATGCAAAAACCTTATTTGTTTAGATRATATGAAAAATGAAATTCGAGTCTTACCCTAGTAAAGTCATTAACCTCTTTTTTGGTTCTGGATTGGAGTTTTTTTGCCTTTTTTGACAGAAAAGGGACAAAGAGGAAACCATCTCAAAACCAAATGCTCTTCTATATACTAGACCTGCATACCTTTACTTTTATTGGGGGGAAAAGARTTGTTTTCCACTTGCTGGCTTCCCTTTCCATATTTAAACAGGTCTTACAGGCTGTCAGGGGCCTTGTGCTCTACAACGAATGGACTCAATTCCTTTATCAAACATAAAARTTTCCTTTTATTCCCACCTCAGGAAACACTTGTACAACAGTGTAGGTACCTTAACCAAAATCTTACATCCATTTCCTTGTTGTGTTATTGGAATGAAAGGGAAGGAAAGACACGTGAGACACCTGCAAATATTACCTTAGAAGATATTAAACCAGGCACTTGAAATTTTAGTGAGGAAAACAATTCAAACACAAAGTGAACTCATTACTCACAGCACTTACACAGCACAAAGGCCAGCAAAATTCCAAGTTTCTTAGCCAATGATCAGCTCTGTCACTACATTGCTTGTGCAAGGGCTTGTGAATCCTAGACCTTCAGTAGCCAAAAGGCAACTAGCTTTGGCCACTGGCTCCCCTGACACATTCTACAAGCACAGGGAGGGGATGGCAGAGAAGCTCTAAGTGTCAGTCAGACCGCAGGACTCTGAGCCTTGAGCTTTGACATCTGCAGCAGGATCTCAGAGCTGCTGCGCTACTCAGTTTCCAAAACCGCACCTTCAAAGCAGAGCCGCGGACAGACAGACGGACACACTCCGTGCTGTGCCGCGTACGGCGCCGTGCTATTAACAGATGACACGATGTTATTAACAATAGTCAAAGCCAAGTGCCGTGCCTGTAATTGTGCCTCATTCCGCAGCAATCTGCAGCAATCAAAGACACTCGGTGCCTGACGGGCTGGTCAGTGTGACAGCGCAGCGGGGAGGCTCCATTAGCACCGGGGGAGGCGGAGAGAGAGCGGCACACGGGGAAACGGGCAGCGGATCACCAGGATAAACGAGGGGGAAAATGRAAGAATCACAGAATTGTCTGGGTTGGAAGGGACCTCTGGAGATGGYCCAGTCCAACCCTCCTGCCGAGGCAAGGTCACCTGGAGCAGGTGATACAGGAGCGCATCCCGGTGAGAGGGAGAATCCATGGCCTCCTTGGGCAGCTGTCCCAGTGCTCTGCCACCCTCAATCTGAAGYTTTTCCTCATATTGAGGTGAAACTTSTTGTGTTTTAGTTTATGGTCATTGCTCTTTATGCCGTTCCTGGGAACACCGAAAAGAGACTGGCACTACCCTCTTGGCCCCCATCTTGGAGATATTTATATGAATTAATGAGTTCCCCGGTCAGTCTTTCTCTTCTCCAGACTAACCAGGCCCATCTCCCACAGTCTCTCCTCACAAGAGATGCTCCAGACCCCAAATCACKTTTGTGCCTCCGCTGGACCTCTCCCATAGCTCCTTGTCTATCCTGTACCGAGGAGCCCAGAACTGGACACATTCACCTCAGGAGGGCCCAGAAAACTTTTTTTAAAAAAAAAAAAAAGCGAACCTCGTGTGTGAGAAGYCTCTACATCAGGGGCGAAATCGATTCATCACGTGAAGAATAAGGTTTGTACTACTACTTTTACAACGCCGTAACTCTGCACTCCGCGCTGTCCCTGTCCCGGTCCCGGTGCCGGTCCCCGTTCCTATCCCCGCCCCTCAGGTCGCTCCGTCCCCGCCCCTCAGGTCCCTCAGGTCCCGCCCCGCTCCCTCAGGCCCCGCCCCGGCGCTTTACGGCAGCGGCCGCGGCGTTTGCGGCGCTCCGGCGCGGGGTTCGGGGCGGACATGGTGAGTGCCGGGGGCGCCGTTCGTGTCCGGTCCGGGGAGCCCTTCCTGAGGGAAGGCTCGGCCTTGGAGCGAGGGGCCCGCACAGGTTCCGGCCTCGGCCCCGCAGCCCCCGCGGTGAACGCTCCCCTCGTTCCCCGCAGCTCGGGGGTCCCCGCCCCGCTGCCCTCGCCGTGTCCCCGCGGTGCCCGAGAGAGACGTGTCCCCGGTTCGGTGTGTCACACCCGCTGCGCCTGGCAGGCTGCTGGCGGTGTGTCCGAGCCCCTGTGCCTTCTTCCCTTCTTCCCTTCTTCCCTTCTTCCCTTCTTCCCTTCTTCCCTTCTTCCCTTCTTCCCTTCACAAACCGTGTCTGTGTTCGTTCCCCTGCAGGCCAGCACGATGGTGGCGGTCGGCCTGGCCATAGCGGCAGCTGGATTCGCAGGTGTGTAGGGGACGGGGGACACTGAATACCCAGCTCTGCTTGCACACCCCCTGCTTCAGGGCCCATTTTAAGGTAGTTTAATAGCTGATACAGCACACTCTTTTGGGAGAGCCTGTATTTATGGCTGTAATTAAACAAACTGTTAAAGTTCTTCCTATTTCACGTCCCAAAAAAGTTTTCTTCACATTCTCATCCCAGTCGCATTGAATTGCTTAATATTCATGGAACTRTACCTAACCTCAGTCAACACTGATCTCTTTAAGGTCGTTATGCGGTAAAAGCTTTGAAGCAAATGGAGCCACAGGTAAAACAAGCTCTTCAAAACCTACCAAAATCAGTAAGTTTTTATTTATGAGTAGCATCTTCTTATTTAAAACTTTACTTAGTGAAATAACTACAGACTATTGTCTTTGTATAGTATTGCTGTATTTTCTSCTGTATTTTGTCAGTAAGAATAATTAATTTCAGCAATTCCGGGGCTGATTGACTTATAGAGAACTTGTTTGGGCAAATTTAAGTAATCATTTCGATAATGATGCTCCAACTGAATTGCTTATTACAAGTTCAGAAGTTTTGCTGTTTTAAGAGACTAAAAACTCAGCAGCTACTAAAGCAGTAAGKATTTTAACTGATACTTAAAAATTAGTGGTATTTTAAACTAATGAGTTTTCTCTTTCAGGCCTTCAGTGGGTATTACAGAGGTGGATTTGAACCCAAAATGACTAAACGAGAAGCAGCTTTAATACTAGGCGTRAGGTAAGGAAATTTATTAGAAATGAAAGATGAACAGGAGGCATTGCCTTGTTTGGAAAGGTTGTCATCCTCAGTGCTTAAAGCCATCCTATGCCCCGCATCCCTTGGGAGTATCACTGCCTAATCAGGAAATAGGAAGTGGCTTTTCAGGATTTTTTGTGCTTGTTGGGGGTTCTTCRCTGCACTWTAGCTTGGTTGAAGCTAATTGTGCMTGGACTTYCAGAYATCTGCARTTCCCTTGCACATTCCAAAGCCACATGTCCAAATAAGCCATTTCAGGAAGCCTTGGGGTTCACTCAGTTTGGGGAACACAGCTGTGCTGTTTTCTCATGGTTCCTGACAGTTCTGGGGAATTTCAGGTGGGTGCAGTGTAGTGGTGCTGCAAATGCATTTTTTATATGTGGAATAAACCCATCACTTCTGGGACGTTGTAGATCTGAGTATAGTGGCAATCCCTGACAAAGCACTTGAGGCCAAATACACAAATCCATCAAATAAGAACTTTCAGCTGCAAATTTTTTGGGGGGGTTTGTTTTTTCTTTAATAAATCAAGCAAATTTTTTTGTCTTCTAGCCTTTAGGAAGTTTTCTCAATAAAAACACTGTAACATAGTTCTGTTTCTTTTTAACTGTGTGGATCACCCCCACCTATTAGACTGCAGCAGCGTGTCATTTTCAACTTGCAGTATTTTGAAAAAACCCTAGAAAGTCTTTCCAGGATTTAGACACTACATACCAGTAGTAGGAAAWGAGAAATATAGGTGTTAGCTAGGGAATTTATGGATAGACAGAGTGCTCACTTGTTCTCAGACATCTTTTGACAATCAGGAATTTCATCAGRATCCCTTAAGTCAGTTTTTCTCTTCTCTTTCAAAGCCCTACAGCCAATAGAAATAARATTAGAGAAGCTCATAGACGGATTATGCTTCTGAATCATCCAGATAAAGGTAAGGAAATTAAGTCATGTTGATTAGTTAATAGATGTTTTTAACAAAGTTGAATAGAATTGTGTAGGGAAGAAGTGAATGATACATAGCCACCTCAGCTGTTAAAAAACCCACAGAAAACTGAGTGAAAACTAATTTTAGGGTGCCTTTATCCATGTGGATCTAAAGCATATTTTTGTGTGTGAAAGCAAGCAGACAGAATCAGCATGTTTGTTCCTTTCTCTGCATTCTGTGAATATCAGATTAGAATATKATTTGTTAAAACGGGACTTAAAATCACCTTAATTTTATATGAAAGCCCAGAGTGCACCACTTGTGAGTTTGAGTTCATGTGAATGCCTTAGGAGTTCACCATAAATGGCAAATACTGAGCCTTCTACAGCTGAAGACATTAAATTATGAAATATTCCTGTTTGTGGTACTCTGAAGACTTAGAATTGAGTTATGCTCAAAAGTTAGTAACTCAAGGCTTCTATACCTGTTCTAAATTCTGTTCAGTGAGTCAGCATCATGTGTTGGTGTTTGACATTCAACTTCTTAATCATTRCTTAAAAGGTAAAATGGCTTCCTTTAAAGTGACTGTTTTCGTCTATGCACCAAAATCCAAAATATCTATGGGCATATGCCTTTCAATCTTGAGTGAATTTAACTTTGGAATTAACCTTACTAATATATGCAGAACCTAAAAATGGTATTTGGTGTTGTACATGATGTAAGCAAGTTAAATTAAGCTGCAATTAAACCATTATACTGCAGTTAATGGTACAGATGCTACAAATGCAGTCGTTGCACCTCATGGCTTTTTAAATTTGCCCTGTGGATTCTGTCTCAGGCTCCCTAAGTTCATGTGCCATGTTTGAAAACTGAACTGGTCCTTTGGTACAGCAGTAGTCTGTGCTGGGCAGAGTTACCTGCAGACCTGTTAGTTCAGTGCTTCTSTATCCACCACAGCCTGTGCTAAGTCAATGGTGACCAATTCACTTATGACTGATAAAACTGGAGGGAAAAAAAACCCTCCAGTAAACTAAAAGCAGCCTAACAGGTATGAGTGGCCTGACACTGAGTTCCTGGAGTGACTGTGAGTGAACTTAGATCCCTTCAGTCATAACCAGTTTGTTCTTTAACTGGCAGAACCTCAGACCATGCTCCTTTTTTCCGGTGTTCTGTGGCATTATCAACACAGAAGATAAATGTTGGATTTTTTTCATCTGACTTGAGGTTTTCTTTCTTCTAGGTGGGTCTCCATATGTAGCAGCAAAAATCAATGAAGCTAAGGATCTACTGGAAGACCAAGCTAAGAAATGAATGAGAAAGAAAATCTCTCATTCAGAGGGTTTGTAACTGCAAATGATTATTTTTGATAAATGGCTTAAGAAAAGTTCTAATGTCAGTCTTTGACTTAATATAAATGAAGCTGGAAATACAAATCCAGGGAGGTACTTCCCTCCCCACTTAGTCACTTTTTTTTGGGAAAATATGCGAGGGGGTGAGGCTTAAAGATTTTTTCTTAGCTGTTCTTTATTAAACAGCAAAATCTGCCACTCAGAAATATTTTCAGTGCTTGAGAGCAATAACTTTGTGTGGCCAGTGTGTTACCAGGCRCAGGTGCACTCACATGCTGTTACCTAATTTCTGTTGAACTGGCCTTGTTTAAAGTTCACGCTGCTGCTCTTCCATCTGCTAAAATTAGCACAGTGAACTGTTTTGGGCAGGGGATGGAAAAACCAAGAGGATTTATTGGACAGGAGGAACTGGAATAGATGTGTRGTTGTCTCTGCCTGGAGAAATAAAGTGGAGGAAATAATGTACTCCCTTGTCTTTGCCTTGTGAAAAACAAGGTTGGTTAGGTGTTACTGATGGATCTGGAATGTCCCAGATTTTTTTRGTAACCTTAGTTTTGGATGGATTTTAATAGCTTTTAATAAACACCATATTTGTAACAGAAGTCCTGTAGTTTTATACATTATTGTCCACTACAAAGCCAGAGCTCACTTAGTGTGGTTAGCATTTATAGGGATTAGGAAACAGGAACTCSTCATAAATCACTGAGGCTATCTGAGCTGGAGTTGTGCTCCATGAAGCTTCTCACACCCCAGCAGCTGAGGATCCCAGCTGGGGGCAGGGAGCTCTGTCATACACCAAGAGTCTTCCCAATGTTTCTGCCACTGTGGTAAAACATTGCCCAGCAGCTGTGGGAGTTAATACCCACTGGTCATAAACACAGTGGGATTCAGAGCTTTCATTCCAGAACCTGGACTTGAGAGTGCTGCTGGAAGCATCTGATCCTGTGAATGCTGCCTGCTGTGGGCAAGTCCTGGGCTGTTTAACAACGGTAGGTAAGAGTTCTCTGCCTTCAGGAGAGAAGATCAAATAGGTAATATTTACAACCTCCCCAGCACAGCAGTAATTTTGCTTTGCTGCAGAGTTTGAAGTAGGATAAAGGACAGCTGGAACACCACCATGCACAGTTCTGGAGTCTGCAACATTCCATGCCATATGCAGAAYATTTCTGTACTTCAGTATTTCCCAGCCAAATACTCTTCTCAAACACAGCTGTTTTTTCTTTCCCTGTTTTTAAAATTTTCTTCACTCYTGTGCCTGCCCCATCAGCTGAGGTACTTTTCCACACCTGTTTTGTGCTTTGTTGCTCTGGCTCACCTGCCTGGAAAGATGGGAGTTGTGTCATGCTTTAACTTATCAAAAACRACATCTGCATTAATTCCTATATATGTTAGTCAGGTTATGCAATTCTCCAAGATAAGGAGTCTGGTTTTTGACTTGTTAACTGGTGTTTGACATCATCACCTTAATGAAAGGAAGATCAGCATGTTAGAAACTCTTAYGAAAGAGTTAAAGGCTCAAGCTGCCTCACAAGTAAGTTTTCATTGTTAGTTAACAGCTTGAAAACCTTAAAGTCAATAGTAATTTAATTTGATAGAAACAGTCAACAGATGGAAGATCAAAGTTTATTTTCTTTTACTACCAGCATACAAAAAAAACATATTGCACATCAAACAACCAAAACAAAAATAAAAATACTCTACTAAGGACTAACATATGTAGTTTATACAGAATAAACTTTCTGGAAATTGATCTTTTCAGTAGTTCAGGTTATGTCTTAATGGACATGACTAATTCAGCTTAGTGTTAACTAAAGCTATGTTTGATTTTTAAATACTGTACAGTTTAATAAATAAACCAAACAAAGCCTCAATGTAGAACAGTCACTGCCAATGTCACCCAGTATCCCTGCAGATTATGAGAATTTAACAAATGTATTCCAGTGGTCTGCAGATTTTTCCTCTACATACAGCATTTAAAAAACATGTATTAAAACAGACCAGTTTCCAGACTAAACTAATGGAGAAATTACATTTCAGTGCAAAATATTTTAGACTGCATTTCTTTCTAGTATTCCTCAGGTGAAGAAGTGGTTGCATATTATTAAAAATGTAACAAAAGCAGCTAATGCTTTCATAAAGAGTATTATGTTAGGGATCCCCCTCACATCTTTGCCGTATTTTGAAAACAAAATAACATTTCCTATAGCCAGCAATTTTGTTTATTTAAATGTTACATATACTATCTCAAGGCACATCTGATGATATATTTATAACACAGTAGGTGTCAAAGTATGTTTAACATATGATTTCTCCAGGATCCCTCCCCTTTCTGTATTCCAAAATGGAGGAACTGAAAGTGCGGTGTCAAGACTGGCGATCCGTATTCTATCTTTGGCAAGCTTATACAAGCACTATTTTAAATGTAATGTAAAAGAACTGTAAACTAGGAACTTCAGTTTATGAAACACCATTCAGCACTGCTTCTTCCTGATTATTTCCATCCTCCTGAACAGTGACTTTCTTTTCATCAGGGCTGTGCTGTAGTTTAGAAGGCTCATCCCCAGAGGTGGTGGCAGGACCATTCACTGCCTTTTCAGAAGGGCTGTTTTCGTCAATCGCATCTTTTGCCTTGCAAAAACAAGAACAAGGGAACATTAAAAATTCAGTACCAATATAGAGTGTAATCTAAACTTCCCTCTGGCTCACACTGCAGCTTTGCAAAAGAAAACACCTCTTGTTTGTCCGTGCCTGTATTCTGTCATTCAGAGCATCTGAGTACTTACCTTGTCATTTTGGGATATTTCTCTATCAGCCACTTGGAGGAAACCATGCCAACGTTACCCCAGGACTGCACACCCCCAGCACACCCAGAATGCTCATTTATTTCAATTTCAATTTGTCTAAGCYCTTGAAGGAGTTCACTGAAAAACTGAGTTTTACAATGCTTTTGAAGTCTATAGCAAGATGACATTTTGTTAATTGCTCTTTCTTACTTAGCTGAAGTCAGACATAACGTGGCAATATACAGTCACTTTAAAAGCRAAAAAATACTGCTTTATTCAGTTCTGATTATTTTTCAGGATAATGCAAGGCCACTCTGATACTTTTGGGAGAAAGGATGAAAAATGTACAATCTTTGTAAAATTAATTTGTTCTTAAGTAGTTTATACAAGTCACTAAAATGCCACATAGTATCCTCTACCCCTAAAATGTTTAGAAGATTACTTCTCAAGACTTACCAGGGGAATTTTCATATGTTATTACATAATGCAGCTTAACTAAGTGTAGTATTTCAAAATGTGTACAGACTTCATTTTTTAAAATTAAGACCTAAAATCTGCAATAACAGTCTACAAGTCATTGTCAGTTCTGCTTACTCTGGGCTCGTTTTGCTTTYAATGATCTATTCTTGAACTCAAATGCATTGTAGTCAAATGAGGCAAGCTAACTGAAGCCTTCATTCCTTTACTGCTGCAAGGGAGGAGAAAAAAAAGGAAATGCACATTAAAAAAATCTTACCGTTTCTTTCTTGGTTTTGGCTACTGTCTCCTTTGGAGGGTTTCTCTGTCTACTTTGAGATTCAGCTCGTGATATATAATCAGCTACTGTTACTGTTCAAGGAAAAAAATCACAGTGATGCTCACATCAGCAGTCAATTCAGCATGAACCTTCATGTCTTTTCTGCACAAGTTATGCTCTAACTGGGAGACATCTCACAAAAGGCCTTCACACTTACAGGTTATCAACCACACAGCAAGGATCAATTTGTGTCTGTTGTTAAAAACAATTTTCACTGAAATGGGTGGTAAGATAATGATCTGAATGTGGACTCTTAATAAAATGGAAATTTTGGTCCAATTGCAAATTTTATTGGAGAAGGGYTTTCTGTACTAGGTTTGAAGAGATTAGGCTACAGGCTCTTTGCCCAACAGACTGTTTCACTGGGGCTTTATTAGCTTGAGTAGTGAAGAATTTCACACTAATGAAATGAAAGGCAGTTCAGTGGTGCCCAGAGCTGYGGTGGGTCAGAGCACGGGATCACTTACGATGATGCAGCATCAAAATGTCTGTTACGTCATGAAGCGACTGGCGGGGGAACTTGCCCTCCGTGAGGTACTGGGAGTGCCACCAGCACTGTGCCACCAGCACCGTGCCACCAGCACCGTGCCACCAGCACTGTGCCCTGGCACAGGTGTGGCTGTTGTGGGGTGTGTGCACATGGCCGGTGCTGTGTGGGCCAGCCCAGCTCAGGGGCAGCACAGCCGTGTCTGTGCTGGGTCAGCTGCACTGACTGGGGCTGGCCAGGGCCTCTCTGCTCTGTCCTTACCACCTCAGCACATGTTCGGTAGCCTGGTTTGGTCTGATCCTGCCCTCTTGCAACCACACCAAGACTCCCTTCTATCTTTAGAATACAGAGCTTTGCAACTTTAAATATACACTTGTATCTCTGATGAGCTACAGCACATTAGGGTTGGCAAGCATTACCTATGGACCTGTACAGTCATTTGTATTTAGTGGATCAGGCATTTAGGTGAGCTMTTTTTCTGGATTTAGGAATGACTGCATGAAATTCCAAATCGGACTGGGAACTACAACAGATTAATTTTCTGCAACAGTAACTGGACTTCTTACACYTGAATCTTTCCAGAACTTTGAAGGCCAAGGGAGTTTTTGTGCAAGTACATTTTCTTTAAAATGAGGTTCTGTACCCGATTCCTCTARTATCAGCAAATAGGAAACCTGTTTTGTGCACACAGTGCATTCTTAATCTTCCTCTATGTRTAAGGACCCATAACATAAATGTAAATCAAATTATACAACTAAATAACTGAAGTACAGTAGGTAGTATTGAGGGGAAGAAGGGAAGAATTRATTGTGTCATAATTACACTTATTAGGTATTTATGAAGACTTTAAATTATTACAGCATTTAAAGATGTCAGAGAAATCTTGTTTGGGAAATGTTGTTACGTTCTTAGAATACTTAAGATTAGAAAGAATTCCCATGGTTTTCTAGAAATGACTAACAGTTGTGTACC